CCACTTTAAGCCTGGAGGACTTCAACTCCCAGAATTCCCCAGCCAGCAAAGCTGGCTGGGGAATTCTGGGAGTTGAAGTCCTCCAGGCTTAAAGTGGCCAAAGTTGGAGGCCCCTGATCTAAGTAACCCCCATTTCGACCTCCGGTGTACCGTTGTGATATCGAAGTACCTACTAATAGAAGCGGAATCCTAACACAACCAGAGGGCACCACAGCAACAAAGGCGCTAGTCCTCAGGATATCCACAAGGGCGCCCCGCACTCTCCACTGGGGAGATGGACAACGGGCGAGAAGAGCTTAACTGAAAAAGGGGGGGGGGGGAGAAAAAAAAAAAGCAACAGATCGTTAGAATGACTGAATGCCGAAGAAAAGCTGACTTGGAATGAAGGTCGTCACAGCCGCCACGACTGGAGCAAGAAAACAAAACGGGAGAGACCCGGCTGCGGCAGCTAATAAAAACGCCTCACATCCCGCTCTCCCTTCCTTTCTACTCGGCCTCGGCCTTGCCAAACCTGACGGCAAGCTCCCTCCCACCGCGCAGACTCCAACCAGCCCAGACGTGAAGGGCAAACCACGGAGGCAACCGGGCGGCGCAAGGCCTCGCCTTCGAGATATCGCGAGTTTTCTTTGTTGCTTTCCCTAAAAAAAAGAGAGAGAGAGAGAGAGAGAGAATGGCGCGTGCCGCTGTGGTTGCTGCCTTTGGGGAAAACGCGTTCGAATCTCGGCGTCGCTATGACCAAAGCGACTGGGTGTCTTTGGGTGGCCTTGTTTGTTTTATATTCCGAAGGGGTTGGTATTATATAATCATTTTAATAATAATGTGTCAAAGTAGAGCCGTTAAAACCCGGTAAGAAGGAGCAGCCTATTTACCAGAGTGTAGGTAGTCCTCGACTTCCGACCACAATTGAGCCCCACATTTTTATTCCTGAGTGAGTCAATTGGTTCAGTCAATTTTGCCACGTTGTGTGCTATAGTGGTTCAGTGAATCCCTGAAGTTGTTAAGTTAGTAACGTGGTTAAAGTGAATCTGGTTTCCCCATTGACTTTGCTTGTTAGAAAGTTCCCAAAAGGTAAATCACATGATCCCAGGCCACTGCAATGGTCATAAATGTGAGTCATTTGCCAAGCATCCAAATTTTGATTGCGTGACCATGGGGATACTGCAACGGTCGTAAGTGTGAAAGATGGTCATGAATCACTTTTTTCAGTGCCTTTGTAACTTTGAACAGTTACTAAATGAACTGTTGTAAGTTGAGGACTGCCTGTATCAAGCTAATGGGGGTGCAAGCTGGTATAAAACACCTGCAGTACAGGTTGTCCTCTTGTAAAGTGAATGTTGCCCCATCTTACAACTTGTTACAGTTGTTAAGTGAATCACTGCAATTGTTAAGTTAGTGACACGTGTCAAGTGAATCAGAAGATCCCAAAAGGGGATCACATGACCCTGGAACACTGCAATCGTCATATATATGAGCCAGTTGCCAAAGAGTCTGAATTTTGATCATGTGATCCCAGGGATGCTGCAATGGTTGTGTGAAAAATGGTTGTAAGTCACTTTTCAGTACCGTTGCAACTTTGGTCACTAAATGAACTGTTGTAAGTTGAGGACTACCTCTACTGCAAAAGCATTCATTTGTAGCTGCAATCTTTTGGCCTACGGGTTTTTTGGGAGGCGGGCATTCCTACCTTTTCCCATTTAACATCTGGAAGATACTGGGTTAGGTGAAGCTGAATTTAGTTCAAAGTACACTTACTTTTCCCAGATTTTTGGTCCTGACTGACCAGAGAATATCATTTTCTGAGTCAGACTCAGGACTGTAGGATGGTAGCTAACCAGAATCTGCAAAGCAATAGCTTTCCTCTTGGCAGTTGCTCTGTTGTTATTGCTACTTCTCAGTTTTATATTTCATTTATCTGTTTCTAATATTTGCACTTTATTCTTTTCTCTTAAGCCATCTTGAAGTAATTTTAATCAAATAAAGCTGGGTGAAGACACTGTAAAAACTTCACTTGATTTCTTAGGCAGTCTAGTAATGCGGTTTTAGAAAATAGAAATTATATTAAACACTACAAAGGCTGCAATTACAAACTCGTTAGGGAATTCAGTATATGATTGTACAAGTGAAATCACATATGGAGGAGAAAGGACTACTAGATAAAATCAGTTCTATATTTTACTGTGCATACATCTGATGAAAAGCTTGTAATCCACAAAAACTTGATCATATATTTGTTAGGATCTTAAATGTTATTGTTTTCCTTTTGAGAAATATTAATGCATAGCAAACACTTTATTAACCAGTAATTAGCTATTCTGTAGATACAATTTTACACTGAAGAAAAAACATTTTTGTAGATAGAAGTGCATACTATTAGGCTCTGGACAACAGCTGCTTTTTATACTCAGCTGCATGCCTCACTTTTTATTACTGCAATTTACTGCAGAAGCAGGAGATGGCAGCCTTAAACTAGCTTTTCTTAAGAGCACCTGTTCCTGTCAATAAGTGGCATAGTTGTTCTGTGCATTTTATATCTGCCTAGTTAGGAAAACAAATTTTATTGGTGTCACAAGATCTATGAGCCAGGATTTACCAAACCCTGCTGAGGCACACTTAAGAGCTTGGGCATGTTTATAGGGTTGTAAAACGTGGGTAGGGTAGAAAAGGTATGTGCCTTCATTTTGTAAGCAATTTGAGAGAAATACAGTACAGGTAATACTCGACTTACTACCATAATGGACCCCGACATTTCTGTTGCTAAGGGAGGCAGTTAACTGAATTTTGCCCCATTTTACAACTTTTCTTGGCACAGAAACCACTGCGGTTGTTAAGTGAATCTGGCTTCCCCATTGACTTTGCCTGTCAGGAGGTCTCAAAAAAATGATCACATGACCCTGAGACAATGCAATTGTCATAAATGTGAATCAGTTGCCAAGTGTCTGAATTGGACCATGAGGATGCTGCAGCGGTCGTTAAGTGTGAAAAACAGTCATGTCACTTTTTTCAGTGCCGTCGTGATGTTGAACAGTCACTAAATGAACTGTTCTACATCAAGGACTACCAATAATCAAGAAATATTCAGTCCACTCTTTGGATACACAATTTAAGATACAGTGTTTGGACCTTGCTGAAAACGCTACCTAGCGTAACTTAATTCTCATTGTGTTCTTGACAGAGTCAAATGCCCAGATTAGGATTTTCTAAATATTTTAGTCTGAGAATGTGATGGCAAATTAAAAATAACCAATACAATGTTTGACTACTTAGCCCTACATCTGATTAAATCCAGAGAGACTTAGTTCCGCATTTTTAAAGTTACTGTCAATATCTTTGTCCATGTTTGTGTTAACACAGAGATACAGAATGGTTGTGTATTTATAGGTAGCTGCATATACAAAAGCTTATACTGAAGATAAATTTGTTCAGACACATCTATCTTTAAACCTGGGCAGAGATGTGCCTGCAGGAGAATTCAGCTCAAACAGTCTAGAAATCATCATGGCTCTTTTCCAGCATCAAATTCCAATGATGGAAATGGGAAAAATTAGTAGATAGCCGCAGTTCTTCAGACCTCGGGGCGTATTTTCTAAACCAAGTCCTGCAACCTGCCTGTTCAGCCACTGACATAAATAAGTTCTCTCCTATTAGTTGGAAGGGAGTTGGGAGAAGGAAGGCACAGGGAAAACTTTCTCTTTTGCTTCTGAAATTGGACTCTTTCCAGCGTGAAGTAAATCATTCTCTTACTGCTTTTATCCTTTCATTTTGGGGGGCTGTAGTCATCAAACAAATCTGAACAGTGGGTGGTACGAAACAGGCAGAAGTATTTCTTCATGTTTATATAATAATTATATGGAACTTGCTAACTCAATGTGGTTACAAAAGGGGATACATAAATACATGAATCAGTTAATCAATGGCTACTACCGCGTTTCTCATATAATAAGGCCGGGTCTTTTTTTTTTTTTTTGAGCCCCGAAAAAATAGCTAGGCCGTCTTTTCGGGGGTGACTTAATTCCCCCCACTTGCATCTTCGGTTGGGCGGGCAGTGAGGGCTTGGATATTGACCTCGGCGTTGGTGAGGCACTTTGTATCGGGGTCAACGCAGGCAGCACCATATCTGGGTGTGCAACAAAAGTGCTTCCTAACGGCAAGCCCCCCCCCCCCCCGCCATTTCCCCCCCATTTCGCATGTTTTAATATAGGCCTTAATTTGGGGGGAGGGGCTTAATTTCATTTCATGCCTATAAAACATGCTGGGACTTCCTATTGGGGGAGGCCGTATTGTTGGAGAAACAGGGTAGTTCTACCATATTTCTGCAGCTTATGCATATTAATTTGTATTAAGAGGCAGATGCCCTACAAACATAGCTTCTCATGGTAAGGGATTTTTGCCTCTATCACCAAATCAGGAGGATCCACAAGGAGGATTTTTAAAAAATGGTTGTGATTAAAGCTCTGCCCTTTTTTATATCCCATTGTCTATGATGCATGTAAAAAAAAGGGGGAGTGATTGCATAAGCCGAATTGTGTCTTGAATCATACATCTCCCTACCTTGATGTTTCTGAGATGTTAATAAAAGTCAAAGCTGCTTTCAAGAGGAGAGAAAAAATGACAATCAAATCTTTGTTGCCATTATCTTCCATCAACTGTTCTAGACTTTATTGCAATCTTATTATAGTCAAATATTTCCAGTATCTTTCTTAATTTTGTATTTCGTATTAGAAGTAGTTGTCAATTTATGGACAATTGGAGCCAGAAATTTTGTCTTAAGTCACTGCAGTTTTAAAGCAAGTCATCATGTATCCAGACACAACTGTATTATCATTTTTAACACAATTACACAAATCACCATAGATCGGGGTGTCAAACTTCAAGCCCACTGGGCCGGATGCATGACATGCTGGCCACGCCCGGTTTAGCAAAAGGGAAAAAAGTCATGATATGTGACGTGAGGTCATGAGTTTGACACCCCTGCCATAGTTGTTAAGCTTCCCCAATTAACATTTTTTGCTGGAAACCAGCTGACAGGGACACAAATGACAACTACATAACTGTAGAATGGTAAAACCATAATGTGCGGTCATCAATGCGAGCCAGTTGCCAAGCGCTTGGATTATGATCATGTGACCAATGGGGGGGCGGGGGAAACGGTCTTGAGCAAGGACAAGGAGTAAATCATTTTTTCAAAGACTATCATAGCTTTGAACCATCATTAAATGAACACTCATAAATTGAGGATTGTATTTTGCATTCCCAGTTTCTCACGAGGATTCTGATATTCAAGTTGCTGTTAAATCCAAAAGTCCTTTGGTTTTTGTACCAATTATTTTCAGCATTGCCTATCTAGCAAGTGTATTGCAATCATTAAAGGAAAAAGGCATGATGGCTGGGCAATCCGAGTTATCTTTTCTTTGCCAAGTCAGTCTTATTTTCTAAAAAATGGCTTAGGAGAATAGATGGCAAAGAGAAAAGATGTTCTACTTCATTGCCTGAATATAGGTATTATGAA